GTACAACATTGTAAACAAATTTGATTAGAAAAGCAGCGCACTAAGTAAACGACCTCAAAATATACAAGTTTGCGTACAGCACCGTCAGAACTAATAACAATTTTACAAGATCGACGCGCGGAGCATGAAAGAAAAAGATTGCTAAGGTAACGCGCCTGTTCAGTGCGTGACTTGGGGTCAAACTTTGGTCAACACACACTAGATTTCAGCATCGCTGCGCAGTAAGTTATGCAATGAAGTACTTAAAGTTCAAGTGCGTCCATTAATGATGTCGTTGATCACTCAGTCTTTTGCAAAATATTATAACTACTAGTTTCCAAGCTTTTGATGCAGCCAATTTTATTTAACTTTGTGGCAATATAATCATTGTCTTGACAATAAGTGTGAATTGCTGTGCGAGCCTTTCGTTCCCGACCGCGGTCAGACGGCGTCATGAAATCTATGCATAAAAGGCGGGTGACCTGCGGCTGTTTGATTTCCTACTCTCTCCTAAGCTAGCGATTGGCGGAATGGTTATTAATATATTACCCGATGTACTTGTAAATCGGACAGTCATACCGCAATTGTGTTGAAACATTTTGGGGCAGTAAGTAACGTCATAATATTGTTTCAAATAAAATATTCCATCCCAATCAAATCTAGGTCAAAGGGTCAAATTGCGTGCATATAATTATAGATACTAGTAGTTAAAAACTAAATATATTTGAATTTTTGACGGCTATTCAACGTTTGTGCAAACCAGAATAAAAAAAGTAGTGTATACAATAGTGATATGACTGAGATATCATGGCATTTGTTTACAATATTGTACCGGCTCTAGTATTGGACACAGATGAAATTGTTCGCGAACGATACAGAGTGGTATAGATTTGAAGAGCCGTTCAGAATTTATAATAGTTAACACTCGTTGTATATCCCCAAACATTTTGACTACTCCTGTGCCGGTGACCAGTGTTTGGGCGAGCGGTCGGTGTTTTCAATGAGCGAGCGAGAGAAAACAAAAAACGGTAAAAATGTGGTCGTTTTCCGGCAAGGAAATACAGTGAGGTCGGAAATTAAGCGATCGTTTAAAAAGTGGGAAGTTGGGCAAAATGAGTACTGTGGTTCAAGTGATATTAGCATATTTCTCATTTAGTTTTAACTCGTACAATATTTATTCACTCACTGTTTACTATAGCCAGAACGCTGTAGTGTCTACACGTTCAGGTTAGTTCTTCTGCAGATTTCAACCAACAACGTGAATTTTTATTTGGGGTTTCGAGAAACATAACATGAATCGTTATGGCATTCATAACACAACACCTCGCCATGTTTCAACTTTTAAGTAGTCAGTTAACAAGGTATTTCTTTTCTATGGGATTGACGTACTAGCATGAATGGGTTCAATTATCACTGTTCAATGATGACATCATTTGACTGGCCCTCTAGAGGCGAAATGACGCCAGGCAAAGCGGGCGTTTGTCGTCTGCTTCACAGCCCGTTTTATACCCGATATTTAGGGCACTTCGCAGCACATATAAGTTGTTTTTATCAACAGAATTCATTCATAGATCTCAAATTTCATGTACAGAGTGTCAAAAGCCATACCTCTGCTCCCCTTTAAGCTTTTAAACTCCCCTGTAATTGGTTAAGGTTCGATAAGTGAATAAAGCTGGTCTTGGTCTGTCTTGGCGAGCTCACCACGAGGCAGGATTCAGTCTTGAGAAGAGTCTTGAGTGAGTCTTGGGGGACTTTTCCCCGAGGCATTCTGTCTGGAGAGTTCTCGACGGGCGACTAAGTCGAGAAGTTGACACGTATTCCAGATCTGTGTGTGTCTTTGTTCAGTCGAAAAGGTGGCGAACGTAAGATCCCTGGTACCTGGCGTGAGGTTTAATAACACGATAATTAACCCATCATATTATGTTGAACGAGGGAACATTACAAATTATACTACAAATCTGCCTACTTAGAAATATTAATAAATCATTTGTATGTGCTGTGCTTTTGTGCAAGATATCGTGGTATTATCAGGGGGGAATCTCTTTCTCTCGGGTTCTCCACACTTGTCAGGGGGGGAACCCGTCTCGCCTCTCTATCTCGTCCCCTTGAGGTACGGGATCGGGAAAGTCACTTATACTTTACAGTCAAATAAGACACACACAACGAAATACGTTTCAGCTCTCGTCTTAGTCGGTCAATCGAGCACTCTATAAGACACAGCGCCCTGGGGAAAAGTGTCCCCAAGACTCTCACAAGACTGAACCAAGACTCGCCCAAGACTGGACTGCGTCAAGGCTCGCCCCAAGACTCTCTTAGACTCTCGACTGCAGGACTGCCTCAAGGCTCGCCCCTGGACTGGACTGGACTCTCGACTGCCCAGGACTGCCCTCTCTCTCTACCGCGTCTATCGTGGAGTATTCGCCAAGACCAACTCAAACTCTCTTTATTCATTTTCAAAACTCTAACCAAATACAAAGCAGTAAAAAGACTCTAGGGCGTAACTTTCAATCATAAAGCCAATCACACTAAGTACTGAATACGTCATATCTTTTGATTAATCGTTCACTACATTAATAACTACGGATGTCAGAATAGCGACGGTATCTTGTAATTAGTTCCAAACCACTGAGCCAAGTTCCGTCCAAAACTTCAATTAAGCCTGAACGATGACAAACATAACAC